ACGGTTGGTTCACCGATCTTGAGCTCTGGATCGTTACATTCACGGGACAGGTTCCAATACCTTACCGTCCAGTACAGCGCACAAGCCAACCAGGCGCGCTTACTGACAGCTAGTAGACGCTCGGCAGCCCATTGTCAGCTCACTAGAAAGCTTCCTTGCAACCAGTAAGGACAGCTATCGTAGAGGCCAGCCCTGCTGTCGCCCTCAAGCCAAAGCGACCAACAAAAGGAGGATACCACGTCCGAATTGGAACGCTTGGAATCACTACACCAGTGCTCGACCCTACCCCGGGCAGCAAAACAGAAAATGGCAGCGCTCCAGATTTTCAAGTCAAAAATCAACAATGCCTGCGCACTCGTGAAGTCATACGAGTCGGAAGTGAACGAAATCAACACACCACTCACTTTCCCCGTAGAAAGGACTGAATGCGAGACGTACATCAAAACCAAAATGGGAGAGATAACGCATTTGCTCAACTCTCTGCAAAATGCGGTTAAACTTCAAGACACACAAGTGAACGCCGCGATCGAATACATTGGAGCACGAAATGAAGAAAAAGAGAGAGACAAGCTTATGACAGAACTCAGCAGACACTTGGAGTTGGAATCTCTTCATTTGGAAGTCAAGGTCGTGCAGTGGCAGAACAAAGTTCAGTTCCGTCAAAACGAATTGAAGGATCAAGCTGCATTATTGCTCACCAGTGTGCCAAGCACATCAAGTCATGCAGCCAGTGACGAAGGCCAGACCTGGAACAGCAGCCTCCCACAGCGCAACGAAAGGCAAATAAAACTCCGGGAACCTCTGCTAGAAATCCCTACCTTTTCAGAAAACTTCAGAGAGTTCAACAGCTTCTGGACAGTGTTTGAATCTCTCATCCACGCCGACGAAGACCTATCCAACATTGACAAGTTCCTCTTTCTGAAGCAAGCACTAAAGGGGAAAGCAGCAGCCACCTTGAGCTGCATATCCGTCATCGGAGAAAGATATCAGACGCAGATATACTTATAAACGAGATCGAAAGACTACCCAGGGCCTCAGATGATCCGAGAAGTTGCCGAAACACTTTCGAAGCAATCAACTCAAGAATCATTCACCTGGAGCAAACGGGAGCAAAGATGAACGCAGACATACTTTGGCGTCGAATAATCTTTTCTAAATTTCCCGAATCCATCTGTACGACCGCCATCCAGAAAGAAGCGGTACAAGATGATCCATTAGATGTTAGCGAAATCCTGAACACCATCGACAGCATCATTTCACTGCGAGACAATCTTGCTAACAACGGAAACTCTCTTTCCAACCAACTACTACCCAAACAACCAAGAAGATGAAAAGACTACCAGATGCGATAGAGAAAAACACTTTTCGAAATCAAAACACTTGTGTTTATGTGGACAACCACATTCTCCTCACACCTGTCAGAGGCACACCACACCAGAAGCCCGACGACTTGAAGCAGCAAATCAAGGAGTGTGTTGGAGATGTTTTGCAAGCGATCACAACTTTAACGCTTGCACGAATTTTGGCGTATGCCCCAAATGCAAAGGATCACACCATGGATCTCTTTGTTTGTCAGAAGCAGGAGAACGCAGAGGATTCTCGACACAATACCGAGATCCTGCACTTGATCAACATTCACCTGCTCCTTGGTCATCCCGTGACATCAGTCAGGATCGTCATGAGAAGAGTACTACGCACGTCGTACAAGGCTCACGACAAGAAGTCTACAATCCCGAAGTGCTTCCACTTGCACAGGATCAATGCATTCTTCAAATTGTTTCGGCAACCATATTCAACGAGGCAGAGTGGAACTATCAGCCAGTAACGATACTACTTGACTCCGGTGCACAACGAAGTTTCATCAAATCAGGACTTTGTGAAGAACTCAAGCTTCCAGTCCTTCGTACTACTTCGTTTACTACATCTGGGATGGGCGAGCAACAAGAGCAATTCAACTCATCTGAAGTACAAATCACCTTGAAAAGTCTTCACAGCTCCGAAAAGCTCAAGAACTTGTCAGCACACACTAAGCAGAAGCTGACTACCGACATGCAGACAGCAAGTCTCACGGAAGCAGACTTGCGTTTTATCTCTGATGAAAAGCTGATAATCGCTCCTGCAAAAGCGTTTCACCCGACATGATCATAGGACAAGATCTCCTAAATCTCGTCACTATCCACAACGACAGAGTGCGCAAGCTTCCTTCAGGGCTCATTCTGACCCCAACTATCTTCGGATTTGTTATATCAGGGACGAGCTGCACTATCACCACATCAAGATTCATCGACACATTCGGCTGCATATCAGCGCTAAAGAAAACACTGAGGAACAACCGCCCAACTCCACAACACAACGAAAGATTGAAGAAACCCAAAGCGTACTCTCATTTCAACAGTGCGAACACTCGAACATGCAAAAAGCCCTTATTGCCAAAGCAAAATGAAGGAACAATCCAAAGGAAAACGATTCCGTTACGAGCGATGCTACAACCATGTTCTTCATCCAAAAGCCGACAATCCACCTTTACAAGGTCAACAGTCAATGCTTCCATCCTCGCTGAAGCTCGAGCAGACAGACAACGTTGGTTGGCCACAATACGTTCCACGACGAACTCCAATGTCCGCCCCCGATATGGGATAGAATGGCTACCGCAGCGGTTCACAAACAATGAAGCCAAGATAAGGATGACGAACACACCGGAGAGAAGACATCATGAGTACATACATCGTGTAAGGACGCCGTCTATCAAGGATATGGTCGTCAACGAAGCAACTACCGATTCAAAGTGGAAGAGGAGGAAATGGCGAGGACGACAAGCAGCGCCAAACCGCCCACCAGCTCCAGCGATCACTTCAGATGCTTTTATAAATTTACGTCAATAATTGTACTCTTGTGTGTATGTTCAAGTTACTTGCAAATCCTCCTTCATAGCTCATTTTTCTGTATGCGTAGGTATTAACTTATTCGCTAGTCAACTTCACATGTATCTGCCACTCTAATTAGGATCTTACCAGATCTCACTTTCCTCTCGCTCGCCCGGAGTGTTGATGATTTCTGTATCATCAACCATTAATGAACTCTATGTTCTAGATAGCCTACGGAATACCCGTAGGCTAAATTGTGAGCTACTCACTCTTGAGTATCTAATCACTCAAGAGTGTGTGGTACCCGTGCGCCAGGATTGTAGCCAATCGGCGGCACCTCCTTTCAAGCACCAACTCGTGTACATTGTACCTTTTACTCGGTTCAGCTCCGCCTTCCTTCCTATATAAGGAGCCTCCGAATGTATTAGAGGTTGCTCCCCGGTCCACACCGGGACACCTCACATTCTTCTTCACGACTAATCTACGCCAGTGCGAATAAACTATATTCCACAACCTCGTCTACCCCTAATCACTTGGTACCCACCAAAGGTACGTTATGAAAAGTGCCGGGTGAAGGGTGGGTTTTTTAAGGGGGTGCTTTTATAAGGGGGTGCTCAAGAAGACGTCCTTTTACAATGGTAAAAAAGCCTGTACTTGAGCACTCCCATTATAAAAGTCTCACCCACCCTTCACCCGGCACTTTTTATAACGGACCCTAGGCAAAGTATATATTTTCTGAAAGCGGAGAACCAGATGATTCCAATGGTGACCATCATGGCGTAAAAGATGTTTATCTACAAAGTTATGAATTTTTTTATGTTAATAACTCGAAAATCTCCAAAAATCACAACGACACCCTTCACCCAGGCACTTTTTTTAATGGACTCTAGGCAAAGTATATATTTTCTGAAAGCGGAGGACAAGACGGTTTCAAAGGTGGCTATCATGGCGTACAAGATGTTCATCTTCAGAAGTTACGAATTTTTCTATCTTAAAAACTCGTAAATATCCAAAAATCACTACCCACACTCTTCACCAGGCACTTTTTCAGACTCCAGGCAAACTATATATTCTCTAAAAGTGGAAGACAAGGTAGTCTTTAAAACATTTCTCTTGCTGACGTTGCTGTTCATGTGCAAAAATTATGAATTTCTTCTCTAAAAAAATTCGTAAATGTTTAAAAATTGTCTAACCCTTTCCGAAACAAATGTTATCGCATGCACATCTTCTATGGTAATTCCAAAAACAGGCAGGGTGATGTAAAAAAAAGGAAATGTTAAAAAAAATGCAAGGTGCTGTCAGAAATATAATTGCGTGCTAATCCACCTGCACATCGGTTCACAATTCAGAAAAAAGATAACCAGTGATGGTAAGGAGAATAAATTATGAACTTTGACTAGGAGAAATGATGAGAAAACACCATCCCCCTCCCCCCTCCCCCGTCGACATTTTATAATTTCTCTACCAAGTGAAACACCCTTCACCCTGAAGAGGCTGCGACCACTGTGACCCCCTTCACCCTGGAGGACTCATTCTCACCTTATCGCACCTGTGGCTCTTGCCCAACTGGCAATGCACCAATTTGCTTCTGAAGTGAGAAATTCGCTTCAGAAGTGACGACCGGAACGCCCCGGCGACCGGGACGAGTTAGTCCGATAAGCCAGAGTGCGCATACCGCACAGTCAGGACGTAGGGTCCCACAAAGACTCTGCGTCTTAACCTTGGAGGCAGGCGACAAAATTTAAATCAAGAGCTTCTGGAAAAACCCGTTTTCGGCGTTTTCGTGCCCTCCAAGCTGCATTTTCAGAATCAGCGGGGGAATAGGCCCAGATTCCACTCGAAATTTTGCCCGGACGCTGCCTTTAAAGAAATTACCGTTCAGGCAAGCGCAGTGATATAAACTCATCACAAAAGGCCACGGACATCGAGATCGTTACTTTGTAAACAATCACTATTTTCGCATGAAGCTCTTTTCACAGACACTGGTTCTCAATCCTCTTCTTTAAAAGTGTTATGATTGACACTTTAATTATTAACACCATTTACAGGTTTTGAATCTACACTATTTGCCACGACGTCATATTACTTATTATCAAAAAAGTATTTTTTGCAGAATGCAAAGTAAAAAATACTCACCAAATCAGCAGGAAACTCGTCATCACTCGCATCTCTTTCTATAGTGCTTCCAGATGACTTTTCCAGAGCATCCAAAACTCTTCGCTGCAAAGGATTGATTCCCCCGCTGGTACGTGGTTCCATGTTTGCAAATTCATCCGGTACTAAACAGGCGTGAAAATTAACCATTTTCGAAAAAGCCTCCTTACCAAAAGGGACTGCATGCATTCTGCCATCGCTGTGTACACCAATGCGACCATAACGTCCAAGTGCACTGACGATTCTTTGAGGTAAATTGACAAAGAGCATATTCGAGCTAAAAATCGTATTAGGTTGGCGAATAATTTCTGTTACACTGATTCTGGGATCTTTAAATCTATTTTATATGTAGGACATGAAATCTACAGACTACATGACTGATGCCACAAATACACGGATGGCTATTAAGTTCATGTTCGCTTTGAACATACTCAAGATTTTCATTTTTTTTCTTCGACTTTTTCTATGCGTCTCCTTATAACTCTACAATAATTTTTTCAAAAACGTTCGGCACTCTCTCTCCGATGGTGACACTCTGATGCCTCCGTCGCTTCAACAGGGGTCAAAAAATAAACTCAGAAATTCTTATTTTTGCGTGTATAATGCAGAAATTGATATATAGGGTGGGGCAAAAATCTAGGAACCCTACTATTTTTTTCAGATGAAACAGAAAAAAGGCACCTAGAAGCAAATGGTTTGGTGCACACATAAACCGAACCTTTACAAATACAGCGCAGCTCTCAAATTTCGAGATTGCCTCTTTTGACTTCAAAGCAGCCCATCGAAGTCATGGCAAGTGCGCCTGTCGTGGCACGCAGGCAATCCTGATGAAATTCCCCAGGCCTTCACGCTAAATGCTTCTTTCACTAGGCAAATGTGCAATATGATAGAGCAAACTTTTGGCTACAACCTCTAACGAAGAAACCTTTTTGCACACATAGGGAAAAAATTTTGGAATTTTAATGAAGGCAAGTGTACTCGCCTACTGCAATTTTTGATGCGATCGCGCGCAGCAAAAAATCATAATCTAAAAAGTACTGAAATCGCTTCATCGATATCGAACTCAAATAGATGCTTATATATAAGACTCATAGGAAGAATATAGTTTAAAACACAACACCTGCTGCGCTCCTAAACCTTCCAAATTTATTTTGAAGACAAAGCAGGTAATATTCTCAAATATTTACTTTGCATTTTCGAAAGATTAGTTTCTGGCAAACGCAACTACTGCGACGTGATAGCGCAAAGCCTCCACTACATCGTATGCGTCAAAATGTTGTAGAATATTCACAGTATCAGCTACGAGATATATTGTGAATACTAGAAATCTAGACTTCCTCGCTCTGCAGAAGCACTTTTTCAACGAATTCAATTCTTACAAACACGTATGAAAAGCATTCTTAGCTGGGCGTGATTTGTAAAGGATGATCTCAGCAATATGTGGCATAAATTTGGAATCAAAATCATCAGTAGTTTCGTGATATACAGCACTGCGTCGGCTCCCAGACTTTTGCCCCACCCTGTAGAAAGCTTAAAAGATTAGGTTGTCCCGAAAGTTTTGTCGGTCGGTTTTTTTCATCGCTCACCAAACCTCCAGAACACCAATCCATGGACGACCTAGGTGTCATTTTATTCATCTTTGTATCCTCTTTCTTATAGCTATATTTGTTCCCTGATCTACCCCGTCTTTACGATGTTATCGCCATGGCTTTTTGAGCACCTCAGCAGTAGCGCCAAAGCTTTCCTGAATTTTCAAAATTTTTATCTTGATATTTTCGATGAGAGCTGGTGACTATTATGTAGGGCAAACCTTTGGCTACATTGTACCTATTTTAGATTACGTGGGCCACGTTTATAATGTCCGTAATAATTATTTATTTGAGAAAAACCGCGGCTTTTTGAACACGTTTTATCACGTAAAATTACCGAAAATTCCAAAAAGCTGATTTTTGAAGAAAATCAAACTTGGTTATGTTGCATAAATGATGCTAAATAACAAACAAGTTTGAATTCGCAAAAACTCAAAAGCTTTCATGCTTTTGCTGCAATTAGGCGTTTCTTGACTTTGCTAAAAACCAAGGCCTCCGGAGAAATAATTTTTTGAAGTTAAAATCAGCAGATTAGGAGATTCTAAAAACATGAACTTGTAGCCCGAGAGTTGCTCTATTTGGCCAGTGCTTAGTCTTTTTCGAAACTTTGTGATGAAACTTTTGAAAATTAGCTCAACTTTGAGCAGGTAAAATTGACAGGTGGAGAACTTTGGCAATTATCAAAAAAGCATACAAGATTATAGTATGAAAGTGTATCCATAAGAAAGAGAAGGAAAAGCTGCATCGAATGCACGTTGAAATCTCACTCAAATCTTCATTGCGCGTGGTTTTACAGTGAAAAAAAACGACAAAACTTTCGGGACAACCTATTATGATACAGATCTTTTCAAAAAAGTATTCATGGTAACATGGCGATGAGCCAAAGTCGCGCAGAAACGATAAAGACGATCCAGATAAAAGTAACCCATCTCCCCATGTTCACCGAACATTTATAGACTGTGTTCTTCCGATCACCAATTAGTCCGGTCTTCGCTCATCAGTCGGAATGATGCCGCTCTGTTAACAAAAACAAAACGGACTCTTCGTTTGAAGATGAATGCTATATGAGTTTTCTTTCTTATGCTTCCATCTTTCATCAAACTCAAGTTTAAAGTTCTAAAGCGCATTTTTCAGAATTTAGCGCATAAATTGGCAGGTGGGGTTTGGGCTACACTTACATGAGGGTCTACTATATAATACCACCAAAATCCGAGAAGGGTCCATTTTGTCGATCCACTGCCTTCGAGACAAAGAAACACTATTGCGCGCTGATGTCCTCCAAGTGTCTCGTAGTCTGATGAAGGATTTGATAGGTGCATGAGTAAGTCTTGATTTCCTTTCAAGGAAAGGTTGATTCCTGCACTAATAAATTTCATTTCATTGAATTCACAATTTCCCCAGTCTTAATATGTGTGTGTTGAAAACGTTCTTCTTTCTACAATCCTTGATTTTTTTTTGAAGTCGTTGCGCAGTTGAAAATCAGCGCTTTCACAAAAGAAAAAAATGAAGTAAAATGAAGTAAAATTGTAGCCCATTTTTCCATGATCTAGTACAATCTCTATCAGTAATCGCCAGTGGCGTACCGAGGGGTGGGGGCGCCCCCCCCCCACCCCGAGAATGGGTCGCGAAATTTTTGAAAGACATACAAATGCTTACATGAGCTATAAAATTGTGCAAATGACTTGTTCAAACTTGTAAATAATTACAATATTTTTAAAAAATTTTTAAAAATTCAAATTAGCCTTATAAAAAAATTTTTTCGGGGGCGTGGCTGAAGCCACGCACCTTCATCAGAAAATTTTTTTTGTCGCCCCCCCCCCGAGCCGAAATCCTGGGTACGCCACTGGTAATCGCATGTTTTAGTATTGTATACTAAATTTAGTCGACTTCAGAACAGAAACCAAGAACATCAAAGTGAATTTCTCGCGAAGTAAAGGTCCCAAGGAAGACCACCAACGAGATGGGCAGGTGTGTTCGTGAAACTGATGGAGCAGCTCAGAAATTAGCTGGATACGAATTCTGCACCTAGAACTTGAGGAGCAACCACTGACGACCACCAAAGATCGTGGATGTCAGAAGCGAGGGACAGAAATCAACGCCAATTAGCGAAGGTAGAGTAGGATTTTCATTTAGCAAGCATTGTATTGCAGAAAAATGATCAAAATCAGAGAGTTACTGATTTCGAGGGGTCATACACCATGCGCTATTTGAAAGAAACCTTGACATCATTCCGCTGCTTGAGCGCTATAGGAGATTGTAACGGACACCATATCAAGCGGTCAGAATCTTTTTGCTAAACCTTGTATGATGGCTTTGACATTTGGGTACAGTCTGTTCCAATCGGAATCAGGCCAAAACGTTGGCGTAAAATGATAATATTGGCAAAACTCGCGCATATCAAATTTTGCGTGATGGTGCTGTGATCGGCTGCACGAAATCGCCCAGATCGCTGTAGGTTGAACGCCCGCGAGCGTGTCTGTAACGCGGCCGCCGAATGCGGGTGTTATGATGACTCATGCGCGCGAATGCCAATGTTAGTCCCCAGAGACACGCGCGCGGGCGTCCGGGCGATTCCGTGCAACCAACTATACTAGAGGCAGCTTCCAGGCACCTGTTCCCGCTACTGTATTTAACGGACGACTTCCACGACCTGCATGCCTTCATTTTAGGACACATCACGAGGCGGTAGGCTCCATAGCATGTAAGCGATGCAAGTCGTCCACCTACTATGGTAGTAGGCGTGAGCACCAGAGCCGACGCGGCTCTTTTCTGCGCGAGCGCCTCCCTCGGGCCTTGCGCGGCGTGTATGGACATATCGTCTGCGCATTTTGCCAGCTTCGATTAGCGCCCCTTGGTGTCTGCCATCTCTTCACTCGTTATTCTTTGACTTCTTTCTTTCTGTGCTCCTATGCTTCCAGAAATGATCTTTGTTCTCCTCCTTAGCCATCCTTACCAGTATTAGGGTCTGATTTTGCAGTTATTTCGAAGATTGATTATGCCAATTTCGTTGCAAATTCGGTGAGGCCCATAGTTCTCAACTGGTTTTCTTCTTTTTAGTCCTACGACTTTCGTCACATAAATTGTACATTTATGATCGGCTGTATTCCTCTGCAGCCGAAATCTGCAAAACTTACGCCGATCGCTCAAGTAATATCACATCTTCTTGATCAAGTCCTGCTAGGTAGATGGGATTAGCAAGATCAGTCCCATCTCACAGTGGCTGCAAGTTCCACAGTTTATGGCTGCCTCGTGTCCATGAACCCGACCATGGGCTACTTTACGGGGTAAGCAACGAAACTTGGAGAACAGACAAGAGATGGTCAAATAAAGGTGAAAGAATTGAGGAGGCGGGGATGATAAGCCTGCGAACTCTTCGCAAGGCCCGAGCGAGGCGGCGGCGGCAACCCTAGCCGCACCGCTTTGACACTCACGTTGGGATACTCTGTAGCAAGCCCAAAATCGTTTCCACGTGCAACTATCATGTGCTCACATTTGCAGACGCCGCCTTTAAGGCAGTCTTAACACGTTGACGACGAGCTGTTTTTTGACGTCTGTCCCTGTGGACAAACCGTTTCCGGGCATTTTCACAGCTGGCTGTATGTATGATGCATGCTCTATGCGCGAGACACAAGAATGCAAGGCTTGCCAAAAAAGGGCGGGCACTCCACCAACTTTTGTCAACCCCCCCACTTTGCAAAATGCCGGAAATTGCACAAATTCACAAATTCGTGCAAGTTCCGGCACTTTTGAAAAGTGGGCGGGGCTTGCCACCGAGGGGGCGGGGCCTGCACAACGGGAGGCGAATCAAAATTAAGATTATTTTGAGGTTCCCCAGTCCCGGCTTTTCTATGCAATTTGAGAAGGAAAAAAGTTTTTGTAGAGGGCAACAGAGTGGGCGGAGTTTGCCAAAAGGGGGCGGGGCCAACATGAAATTCTTCTAAGCCTAAATTGGTTATGTGAACACAAATCGGAACCACTGTGCACATTAGAACTGATATTAAGGATGTCGCGCACCATTGCGCAACATCGTCCACAGAGACAGACTGCTTGTACCATTGCGCGACACTGTCGTCAACGTGTTAACGTTGTAAGCAGAACATGGAACAGCGTTAGGAAATGACTTACTGTATCGGAACTTCAACAGATCCCTTCGTTAGCTCACCAGGGCGGAATAAACTCTGAAAAGCACAAACAATGAAGATTCTTAATCTCGTTCTTGAAAGTAATGACAAAAAATTTGAAGTACAAGCTGTTTTCGTCCAGCTTGCGAAGGCAAAGATTGAAAAGCCTATATGTAAGTCAACCAATTCTGCAAGAAAAGGTAGAGTTTCCCACCCCTCCCCCTTCACCTTTGCCTTTTGGCTTCATTAACATCTTCTTCAATAAAATTTCCTAAGATTTTCGCCCAGGCAACTTTTTGCAGAATTTCTCCTTGCCTGCAATGTTTTCAAACATGTTTTCATAAATTTGCTCAAATGTCGCGGATGAATTGCAGGAAGTAGCAGCATCTCATGCGGTTGTCTCTTTTCAAAAGTGTCACTGTATAACACAAAGTCATATAGTCAGTTGTGCAAGATAAGTTTTACCACCAAACCAAATGCTAGAGACTAGAAGAGCGTGAATTATGTGTGAACTATAGTTGCAACGAATAGAAACTTTCATCGAATAAACGAATATCGAATAATTGATTTTTGGAAAATTTTCGAACGAATGAATATATTAGGTTGGCTAGAAAGTTCTTGCGTAATTCAAACAAAATTCAATAACTTTTCAATGACTAAACCTAAATTCACAATCTTGTATGCTAAAATACTAGAATTCTTACGCTTCATGATGGATGTTTAAGCGCAAGATTTTATGAGCTAGCCCCCGAGAACGAAGCTCTCAAATATGGCACTTCAAAATTTGCAATTTTGAGTTTGGTGCCAGAAAATCGCAGAGTGCCGCTAGCTAGCCGAAAAAAAATCTGTAAAAATTACTTACACTGCAGAAGTCCATAAGTTACTTTGAAAGGCTTTGATCTTGCACGGTGAAGCAAAAACAAAAAAATCGTGAAATAGTCATTTTGCGGAAAAAATCCACTCATTCGTTCGGCAAAAACAATTTTTTACACTCCAAAAGACGTCGCAAGGTTCTAAATAGGCAATATGTCATATTTCTGGTTGCAAACTGTGTTTTTGTGGAAAAATTACATCGATAAGGGAATTTATCCTGTAAAATAACAAATTCCACAAATTTTTTGTTTTCGCATTTCCATGCGAGATTAAAGCCTGCTAAAATGACCTATGGGCTTCTGCAGTGTAAGTATTTTTTACAGATTTTTTTCGTCTAGCTAGGGGCACTCTGCGATTTTCTGGCACCAAGCTCAAAATTACAAATTTTGAAGCCCCATATTTGAGAGCTTCGTTCTCGGGGGCTAGCCCATGAAATCTTGCGCTTAAACATCGATCTTGGAGCGCAGGCCTTCTAATATTTTTAGAGAACAAGATTGTGAATTTAGGTTTAGTCATTGAAAAGTTATTGAATTTTGTTTGAATTACGCAAGAACTTTCTAGCCAACCTAATAGATTAATTGAATTTCAAACATTTTCGGATGAACGAATATTATTCAATTTCCGATTTTCATACTCTTCGAATTCGAGTACTCAGATATGGACACATTCCAAAATTCGAATTTTCGAATATCCGAATAGTCGAACTTGATCGAATATTCGACTGTTCGAATTATTCGAATAACTAAATATCATCAAATATTCGAGTGCAATAGTCGAAATTCCAATGCAAATATTCGAATATTCGAACAACTGTTTCCGAAACTTCGAACCGAATATTTGAACGACTGTCTTGTATGAACAAATTATTCGGATATTATAATGTATTTTTCATTTATTCGACTATTCGAATAATCGAATAACTAAACTTTTTCAAATATTCGGCTATTCGAATAATTGAATAGTCAGATATTTCGAATAAATCATTTAAATACGAATATTCGGTTCCAAGCAACACAACTGAATACAATGATATTAAGAAGAAACATTGCAGATATCTTATGAATACAGTGATAAGCCATTGCCCGACCCCTTAAAATTGTCAAAATGTCATAGTCGCACATGATCCGGCCAGTCCCGGTCGAATATGGATTCTACAAAGATACAGGCAGTGCACCAACGCAAGCGGTCACGACAGGCACGAAAGCAGTTGCAAGCAAAGTGAGCACGACCACATGCCGCGAAAATCCTGCAAATTTTGACCAAAGGACTGGACCCAGTTCACCGACGAATATGAATCACTCTGAGAGGCAGCTAGTCTCTTGCATACTTCCATTCTCGCCTTAAAGGCAGTGTCCGGGCAAAAACTCGATTTTGAGATTTTGTGCTTATACCGGCCTATTCGCCATGCTGAATCCGAAAATCCACATTGGAAAGCGCAAAAAAGGCGAAAAAGGGCTCTAACACAGGAGGGAAATCAGCAGGTGGGCGGGGCTTTCCCCAGTGCGATTTCACGCTCCCATCTACCGAAGCGATTTTCTCGATTTCGCTAACCGTGCTAACATCGCTACCGGTCAAGTGCGAATGATTGACTTGAAACCGGAAGCGAGAAGGTCGCTCCGGAAGCCGGGAATGTGAATTCGCAGTGGGGAGGACCCCGCCCACCTGCTCATTTCCCTCCTGCATTAGAGTCGTTTTTCGCCATTTTCGCGCTCTACAATGTGCATTTTCGGATTCAGCGTAGCGAATAGGCCCAAGTAAGCACAAAATCTCGAAATCGAGTTTTTGCCCGGACACTGCCTTTAACGATTAGAAACACAAATCAGAGCAAAAAGTCAAAGTTTTTATGTTTCCAAGCCAATGCATTTGGGAACGGGCGGTGGGCGAGGGAGGGGGGGGGGGGAGGAAGGAGGGTCACCGACACAAGGCGATAGAAAGATGAATCTGTAGTTGTTACTGAAAAAGGGAATGTCTAGGACTTTTTGGATTAAGTTAATCGCCCTGATGCCACCCCAAAAGGCAGGTACAGCTACACGCTTTCAGAACTGCGCCAAAATTTCACTCAATAGTTCCGTCCTACATTCACATGCATGCACTATAACGCTGTTCGGGCAGGTGCACAATGAAGGGGAGCCTCCATACTACGCCGACTAAAGCTTTTGCAGCCATAGCGCTACGAGTAAAGATTTTTCTTCTAGTGAATTTTACAGCTTCTTCTCAATTGATGTTGCAGTCTGGTTTTGAGGCAACAATGCTTGGAAAGTGGCTGTTCCACTACGTGATACATCGCCGCTGAGAACCACTCTCCAAACAAACCTCCTATGCTCAGGTGAGGTTACCAATACCGGTATGTGTTTTGTTCAAATTCCAATATTTCACTAACACTCCTTTGCCCCAGATGTTTTGCAATTTCGAGTTACTGTAGATCGCTCATGCAACTCTAGATGTTGCTCGTAACAAGATGAAAGCCGCTTCATTCACTAAATTAGTGTGGTGAACTCGTGGTAAACAAAAAGAATAGGAAAAAAGGCGAGGATCACTACAGAAGCATGAGATATAGAACGCCCGCGCAAGGCGCGGAGAGCGCGCAAGGTGTGTATTGCGCGTCACTCCTCTTTCGCGTGCATTCTCGCGGCCTGTTTTCTCTGCGCTTCTTCCAGTCATAAACTATCTTCAGTGGGCGCAACAGCGATGCTCTCCGTGCGCAGCGCGGACGGCTTATACAAGCATTTGCAATACTAGTAAAGGCCAGCCAATCACTAAGTCCTTTTAGCCTCAAAGATTACTCCAATACCAGTTGACCAGCCCCTTCGGATACAGGGCTTAGTACACCCACTCAGATAATCGCCGGGGGCAGGCGGCCCGCAAACTGCGCTTTTCTGCAAGCGGTCAACGGAATTTTGGGGCGTGGCCAAACCTTCAGCTGGCGGCACTTCCTTTACGGTTGCATATTCTGCCAGTGGGCAGCAATACAGCATTTTCTGCAAGCGCTCGGCAAATAATTTCTTTCAGCGAGCCCTGGCCAAATTTTTAGTAAGCGCTCGGACTCTTTTTGAGCAGTTTCGGGCATACGCCGAGCACAGGTAAGACTCTGTTTGGCGAGGTGTCACCGTTGGTTCAATTACTCAAGTTTGAAGTACTCTCTCTCAGCGGAAAGTACACGGGGGCTGCGCGGTCCTGCACAGAGGACCGTGCGGCCCTCAAAAACTTGCATATTCTCGCGGAAAGTGCGCGAGAATGCGGCCACTGCGCCGCTGCCTATAAGGAAACCGCGATTGTTCTCCAAGCATCCGTCTAGAATTTCGTTAAAATTCATCCAAATATCTGCAAGCGGACCGCAAGAAATCAGCGAACTATTTTTCCGGTGCCCGCCCGCCCATAAATCGCACGGCCGCTTGCCCCCGGCGATTATCTGAGCAGGGATGAAACCCTGGTCTCACCTGGTTTAACGAGGAAAGGATACTTGGTGACCCCGGCCATGTGGAATGCGATGTATACCATAAGGGACACTTCGGAACGCCGATTCTAAATCTGTGTTCGAGTTCTGCGAAACGATTATTTGAAGGCAGTTATGGACTTTTGTTCGTAGGAAATTTGCGTACTTTTAGGTAGTTAAAATCACCCAATTTGATCTATTTTACCGTTTGAAGATATTGAGGAGGATCGTGAAAGGTGTAGCGTTGTATTTATACCTATCTGAACCATATTCATCATTTGAATAGCAAATAAAAAACTTTTATCAATGATTTTCACCCTCCGCAGTAGTGCAATTCATTATTGAAAAAAATGAATTGCACTACTGCGGAGGGTGAAAAGTCATAACTCCATCCGGGTTCTCGTTTCGCAGATATGGAAAACAATACTTGAACCAGCATTAAAAGACGCAATTTCGATATACAAACCATTATGAATGACCGGGGTAACCAAGTATCGTTCCCTCTTAACTGACAACTCGTCCATTGTGGTAGATACTTGACATTTATCCTTGAAGGCAGCGTCCAGGGGCAGATCTGGACGTATGAAGATTTTACGTAAAAGTACTTTTGGGGCCCTAACTAAGGCACTACCCAAGCGGAAGGGCAGGCAGTGTTCTAACGGCTGAGATATTCCCCTCGAAAGTGGGCCCGCGATCGTGTTCGCTTGGATTCATGGCAGTTTCGCGTCATGATCCACGCTTCGCGCCACGA